TTTTTTGTAAAATAAGAATTTAAAAGAAGAAATTAAGAAACTATTAGAAGAAGAAGAAGAATGATTTTATTCAAAAAAATATGCATTTATGAAGGAGATAACGAACTTTAAAAGAACAATTAAAAAAAGTATTTTCCATTTTTAAATTGGAATTAGAAGATAAAAAGTTAAAAAAAAAAAAGAAATATAAGAAAAAGAAGGGAAGAATATTAACCAAAAATATTCAAAAATAAAAGAAGAAGTTTAAAAAAATTGATTGTGAACTTGAATTTAATAAGATTATTTTCCTATAAATACAAAAATAAAAAGAAAAAGGAAGTAACGAAAAGAAGAAAAAGAAAACAAAAAATAATTTGAACAAGAAGAAGAAGAAGAAGTTTCTACGAAAAAAAAATAAAAGAAGAATTTTGAAATCTGAAAATATTAAATGGGCGAGAACTTAAAAAATAACAGTTCCTAAGGATAACACAGAAAAGACAGGAGATAAATAAGAAAAAAATATTTATTTATACATAAGAATTTAAAAAATTTTTATGAAGATTTTATTTCCCCTTTTCATCTGTACAAGTAACGGAATAACGAAAGAAGAAGAAAAGGAGATAATAAAAAAGAAGAAGAAGAAGAAAAAGAAAATAAGATAACTAAAAGGAGAAGAATTGATTTAACGAAGAAGAAGAAGTTCTAAATAAATATAGTCATAACAAAAGAAGAAAAAGAAGAATAATTATTGAAAAGAAGAAGAAAATCATAAGGAATCTTGAAGAAGTATGTCTGGAGATAAAAATGTAATCAGAAGAAGAAGAAGAATAGAAAAAGAAGAATAGAAGAAGAAAAAGTATCAAGGATATCAGGATTTAATGTTTTACTAAAAATTTTAATAGAAGAAGGATGGACATAAGAAGAAAATTGAAGAACGAATGTTAGAAGATCAAGAAGAAGAAGATGTAACAAAAAATGTTTAAATGCCCCAAGAATCTGGCTTCTATAACGAAGAAGAAGAATTTTATTTTGATTTTCATATAAAGAAGAAGAAGAAGGATAGATTGGTAAAAGGTCCTTTTGATAAAAGAAGAAGGATTTACCATCTTCATAAATTTAAAAAAGACATTGAAATAAAAGAAGGAAGAAAGTTTTTTAATTTTTGATTAAAAGTTTTATTTGACAAAAAAAAACATTAGAAGAACAAGGATGAAAAGATTTGGGGCTTTATTAAACAAAAATGAAGAAAATGAATACTGAAGAAATCTAAGGATAAGAATCAGTTAAAAATTCTAATAATAAAAAGATTTATTTTTAGGAGCTCTTTTTTATCTCTTAAAAAGAAAAAATTTTTTTAGAAATTTAATGAAGAAGGACTTAAAACAATTTTTTTTTTATCAGAAGGAGATAAAAATTTCCATTAAAAAATTAATAATCAATGATAAAGAAATTTGTAAGAAGAAGAAGGAAATTATCTAAGAAGTATAAGAAGAAGGAGGGTAAAAAAAAGATAATTCAATTTTCGACAAAAGTTGAAGGAGTTAAGATTAAAAAGAAAAGAAGAAGGAGACAAATTTCCTTTTGTTAGAAGAAGAAGAAAATTTATAATATCTGAAGAATTTTTTCCAAGATCCAAGAAAAAGAATGTTCATTGCAAGAACAAAGATAATGATGTTTCACGTTTGAAAAAGATAAATGAATCTAAGACTAGAAAAGATTTTCAAAGAATCCAATGAAGAAATGCTGAAATCATTTTCTGCAGGAGATAACGTGAATGAATGAAGAAGAAGAAATCATTTTTTTGGAGAAGAAGGTAGAAGAATGGAGAAAAAAGAAGAAGAAGTTTTTAAGAAGAATGTCTGATTTTGATAACGAAGAAAAGAAAATAAAAGATCAACTAAAACGAAAAGAAAAAAACCATTCGTTGTTTTAATGATATCAAATTTATTAATTTTAGAGGAGAAGGATGATTTTATATTAGAACAAATTTTTATAAAAGAATAAATATATATATATGAAGAATAGATTTAAAATAGGAATATAATATTCCTAATAATTTTTAACCTACAATTACGTTAAATTCCTGCAATAATAAGATTTAAAAAGAAGAAGAATAAAGTAATTTTAGTATTTATAAAGAATTCTTTAAAAATAAATCTCAAAGATAAAAAAAATGTAAATTCTCTAAAAATTTTTTCTTAGAAAAAGATAAAGGTCATTTCTGAATATATTGTTTTACATGCTTTTCATTTTAATGGTAATTTGTTTATTAGGAAAAACTTATTTAAGATTTTCCATTCATTGAAAAAAAAAAAAAATCAGCATAAGGGGTTATTTTTAAAATCAAATGAGAAGAAAAAAGTTTTTTCCAAAAATAATCCTACAATTTTTCCACTGAATTTCATTCATTTAAAAATTATATAAATGTTTATGATGAAAAAAGGCTATTAAATTCAAATATCTATAATATGAAATGAAACGGCTAGACGATTAACGGTAGTTTTGTTACCAAAAATGTATTTTAAAAAGGTAATTTTAATTGGGATAAAAAAAAAAAAATTCTCACGCAATGTCAATAAAATAACAGACATGTATTAATTCTGTTGTTTATTTTTTTGACAGACATTTAAGACTATGATTAATATTTAGTAAAAAAAGCAAAATTAAATAAAATTTTTTTTAATACAAAATTAAAATTTATAAAAAAACCACAAAAATATTCTTTCATTTAAGAAAATTCAAAATTAAATGTATAACTATTAGACATTTTTAAATTAAAACAAAGAAAAAAATTCTAAGAATGAAAAAAAATTGTAAAGACAAATTAATAAAGAAATTTTAATATCTATAAAAGGTAGTGTGTGTGTGTGTAACGAATGCATAGGCCGCAATTTTCGACGGATTTGCACCAAATTTTACATGCACATGCTCCAAGTTAGCGGGAAGGCCAAGACCGACTTTGCATTTCCCAACTCCCATCGATAGTGGAAATAATCGATTTTTCATGCTTCTACAGCAGTTTTCATGTAGTTTGCGGCCATTTTCTACTGGCCAGAGTGAGAGCCTATAGCTGGCTGCCACGAATAGGCAGGAAGATTCTATTGGCCAGCGTGAGAGCCAACAGCTGACTGACACGAATGTTAACTAGCATGCTAGCATGCAAAAAAAATCGATAGCTGCATTCGTCACAAGTGGGAAAAATTTAAATCTGCATGGCACTTTACTCCAATTGGCTCATTCGCTTGCTTAAACTCAACGTTGATTCTGATTCCGCAGAACTGGGTTGGGTGTGAAAAAGTATTTGTTGTTAACATTCTTTTTTTCATTCGGTTTTTTAGTTACGAGTCCTTTTTTAAAGCTGATTGTTTTGTGTTCATTTTGTTTAGTTCTTTTTTTCGTAACAGATTTAATGTTTAGTATAGAGCTTAGAAAAAATTCGCAGTGTGAGATAGGCAAGAAGTAAGGCATGTAGCAACATCAGCACGGCAAAGGCACTCCTTTAAAAAGGCAAGGAAGGGCAAAAATATTTTTAAGTCAAGTGATAGCGATTGCTGTATGAGTCGTACGATTTTTGAATCAAGCACGGGCAACGCCGGGCCATGCTGCTAGTGAATAATAATTTATAAGGCTTTTTAAGAAAAGTCAGATTCTTAAATACTATTACTATTTTGTAGCCAAAAGCAAGAGAAATAAGATGAAAGAAATAAAAACAGTCAGAAATGAATAATAAATTGATAAGGATCTTCATCTAAGAAAATTAAGATAAAATCGTAATTTTATAGAAATAAAAGAAAAGATTCAAAGGCCCAAAATAAAATCACTGGTAATGCTTCAAATCACTAAAAGTTTAGCTTTGAATGGCATAAACCTCAAGTGTATGTAATATATATAGGCAAGTGTCGAATATTTTGAGATGCGGGATTTCGATTATTTACACTATTCAGACAGTTATCCTATCTTCAAGTGAAAAACAAAAAAGAAAAAAAAAAGAAAGAAAAAAAAAGAAAAAATTTAGAAAAATTCTGCTGAAAAAAGGACTAATGGAAAGAAAGAAAGAAAGAAAGAAAGAAAGGAAAGTTTGAAGAAAGAAAGGACAGTTTGAAGAAAGAAAAAAGTTTGGACAGAAAGAAAGAAAGAAAAAAGAAGAAAAAAAAGAAAGAAATTTAAAAAGAAAGAAAGAAAGAAAGAAGAAAGAAAGAAAGAAAGAAAAGAAATTTCATAGCGCAAAAAACCTTTAACAGAATAAAGAAAGAAAGAAAAAAAGAAAGAAAAAAAGAAAGGACAGTTTGAAATTAGAAAAAATAGAGTTTGAAAAAAGAAAAGAAAACAAGAAAGAAAGAAAAAAGAAAATGGAAGAAAGAAAGTGACCTTAGCGTCATTTGAAATTGGACTAATGGAAAGAAAGAAAGAAAGAAAGAAAGAAAGAAAGAAAGAAAGGACAGTTTGAAGAAAGAAAGGACAGAGTTTGAAGAAAGAAAGAAAGAAAGAAAGAAAGAAAGAAAGAAAGAAAGGACAGTTTGAAGAAAGAAAGGACAGAAGAAAAAGAAATGAAGAAAAAAGAAGAGTTTGAAGAAAAAAGAAAGAAAGAAAGAAAGAAAAAAAATTTGAAGAAAGAAAGAAAGAAAGAAATGATTTTGATTTAAATGCTGAAAAAGGACTAATAGAAAGAAAGAAAGAAAGTTGATCAGAAAGAAAGAAAAACACCTTGAAGAAAGAAAGAACAGAGTTTGAAAAAGAAAGAAAAAAGAAAGAAAGAAAGAAAGAAAGAAAGAAATGATTTAATTGCCATGCTGAAATCAGGACTAATGGAAAGAAAGAAAGAAATAAAAGAAAGAAAGAAAAGAAAGAAAGAAAGGAAGTAAAAAGAAAGAAAGGAAGGAATTGTTTGAAGAAAGAAAGAAAGAAAGAAAGGACAGAGTTTGAAGAAAGAAAGAAAGAAAGAAAGGACATAGTTTGAAGAAAGAAAGAAAGAAAGAAAGAAAGAAAGAAAGAAATGATTTAGCGTCATGCTGAAATCAGGACTAATAGAAAGAAAGAAAGAAAGAAAGAAAGAAAGAAAGAAAGAAAGAAAGAAAGAAAGGACAGTTTGAAGAAAGAAAGGACAGAGTTTGAAGAAAGAAAGAAAGAAAAGAAAGAAAGAAAGAAAGAAAGAAAGGACAGTTTGAAGAAAGAAAGGACAGAAAGAAAAGAAAGAAAGAAAAATAAGAAAGAAAGAAAGAAAGAAATGATTTAATGCTGAAATCAGGACTAATGGAAAGAAAGAAAGAAAGAAAGAAAGGACAGTTTGAAGAAAGAAAGGACAGAGTTTGAAGAAAGAAAGAAAGGACAGAGTTTGAAGAAAGAAAGAAAGAAAGAAAGAAAGAAAGAAAGAAAGAAAGAAAGAAATGATTTAGCGTCATGCTGAAATCAGGACTAATGGAAAGAAAGAAAGAAAGGTAGAAAGGACAGTTTGAAGAAAGAAAGGACAGAGTTTGAAGAAAGAAAGAAAGAAAGAAAGAAAGAAAGAAAGAAAGAAAGAAAGAAAGAAAGAAAAGCTAGGATGAGGGTTGAAAGAAAGAACGAAAGAAAGAACCACAAACAGAAGGAAAGAGGTGAGGGTGAGGTGTGAAAGAAAGAAAGAAAGAAAGAAAGAAAGAAAAACGAATGAAACGATCATGAGACGTGAAAGAAAGAAAAAAGAAATTAGAGAAAGTATTAATTAAGGAAGAAAGAAAGAATGAATGAAAATGAAAAATTAGAAAAAAAGGCGAGTTTTGAAAGAAAGAAAGGAGAGACTTCAACGAAAGGAAGGCAGAAGGATCTTGATAGAAATAAAGATAAAGTGTATGTAATGTATAGATCAGTGGTTCTCAACCGGGGTCTACATGGACCCTAGGGGTCCATGTAATATTTCCGGGGGTCCACAGGCAAAACTCAATTTTTGTGTTAATTAAAAATAGTAATAATAATTATTATTATAATTATAGTAGAATATTTTATTTGTATTAAATTAGTTTTCATTTAAAAAATAAAAAACTTAATCGTATACTATTTCTTTGATAATTAAAACCTTAAAATTTATATTAGTGAAGAATAGAAAATTTTTCTTATGTCCAATAGCTATGAAGGGGTCCACCAAGATAAAAAGAAGGGGAAAGGGGTCCATGGGTAAAAAAAGGTTGAGATCCACTGGTATAGATGATTGAAATTCCGAAGAGTACCCTTTATTTCATGCAGATTATTCCAGTTCCTCTTCCTTTTAATTCTCCAAGCATTTCGCGGTTCATCACTACTGCAGCCTGGTATTGAACTCGTAACTCTTTGGGTCTAGTCATCTAACTAACGTCTCTATCTACTGGGCTATATATAATTGACAGCCGTGTATGAATATCTGGGACTTATAAATCGAATATGTCAGCAAACGTTTTTAACAGTGCTCATATTGCAGTTTTTCCGTTATTAATTAGTGTGTAAGCAGATTGCATTGTTCCAATTTTTCTGACGACGTCCTTCCAACCTTCAAAATCGGCTTTCTTGATCCTGATTCGTTAGTTGCGTCTGAAACCTGGTTATTGGTGCTGGTATGAAATTGCCAACTAGCTCAGTGTTCAGTGCAGGCTGGATTTTGTTTTGTTTAGCGCTTAATGGCATCAGGTGTAAATGTGAACAAGCGCATCTGAAGTCGAAGAAATGGAATTAAAACAAAAAAACAAATGAGACAAAAAAAAAATGATATTACTGCTGCTGCAACAATACAAAAGCGAAGACATGGGAAAAGACGGATTTTCAACAAAATATCCGTTAAAAAGAAAATCCTTCCATTTAAATAGAAACCAAAAACAAAACAATCAAAAAATTCCTGATGAGATTTTAATATCATCTTTTCTTTCTTCATCTAAAAAAAAAAAAAAGAGTTCACTTAATCCTTTGAGAAGTTTAGTGACGTCATTAAAAACGACCAATCAAAATCGCCTCATCAATATTAACGAAAAAAAAACTTATAAAAATGGCTGACGACAAAAAGTTAAATTCTTTGCAAAGGATAGAACTGAAAAAAAAAAGTATGCAAAAACGGAAGAGAAATCATAAATTTAATTCTAAACGTTATTCAGACCACCGATCTCATTCTTTTGTAACCCGGATATAAGAGACCCGGATATAAGAGAAACCCGGATATAAGAGAAACCCGGATATAAGAGAGCTTTTCTCTGGTCCCAAATTAGAGCCTGTGTTAATGTATATAAATTAGACCCAACCCGGATATAAGAGAAACCCGGATATAAGAGACTTCTCCGGTCCCGACAACTCTCTTATATCCGGGTTACACTGTACTAGGAAAATGATTGCCCTATATCCTCGTATATAAGTCTATTTCATTTATAGTGAAACCCTGATTTTTTATAGAGCACGTGTGTAATGCCACCCCAGGTTCTAAGTAATACTAGTAGGCCCCTACCGTAGTCATATACTGCCGTCAACATTACTCTTTTTGAGTAGGTACACGTCTACTTATCTTCTCTCAGTTGTGTCTCTCTCTTTGGGCAGAGTGCGCTCAGGGGCGACTCTGTCAAAGGACAGAGTCGCAACTGAGGAAAATTACACTGAGAGTTGCCCAGCCCTGGGGAACAGCTGCCCGAGGCCGCGCCTTCTCATTGCACTAGAGAGAAGGATCGGTGCTCGCACCAAGGCCAGCGCAACCGTCGGTTGCGGGGGCTGAGGGGAATTTTTGTTCCTTGCCCGGGAGCACGCGCTCGGGCTCCTCACATTAAACCGACCTTGTGTCACAACCTAACCTCGTAGGGGGGTGAGTAAATATTTACTGCTGTCAACACGAACTCTTTCCCTTCGTGGGGGCATTTTGTCCCCGGCAAACCGACTCGTTAATTTCAAACAAACCATGTGGTCAATCAAAAATACACCCACTACGACTAAGTACATAAATGCTTTTTTCCCTTTTTTTCAACTATCTGTATACACGTAAATATAATTTTCTCTTTCTTTCTTTTTTAGCTACCGTATATACTCGTCTAATTCATGTATAGTGGACCCCTGAATATTTTCGTGAAAAATTTGTTTTATTTCATAATACTCGTGTATAATGCAATCCCAACTTCGGAGCTAGACTAGTGGGCCTACCGTAGTGAAATATTGCAGTACTCAGCATCATCCTGGAGATAATTTATTAGCAAATAAATGGTCTTTATTTTTTTATATTTTTTTTTTTATATTATATCCATACCAAAATAGTGAGAGAAAAAAAAACACTTACGGTTGGTTGATTTCGTTTAACGACATATGTTGATATAGTTTAGAAATCTAAATATTTTGAACAGAATTTTATGACTTCAATTAAATATATTTTAAACGTAATTATATGCATTCAGCTTCAGATAAAATTTATAGTGTTGATAATTTTTTATATAAAAATGTATTGCTTGTATTTTTACCATAAACCTGTATTTTTATACTTTCATAGTATGTTGATCTGTTTGGGGTTTCATTATTTGCCTATAACTGAGACCCTCCCCCAACAGGTGCTAAACCCCCACCCCGGAGCAGAGTGGACCTGAGAATGATAGCAGTTTAAGAGATCGTTCCACGTTCCTCAAAACTTCCAATCTCTCGATCAGGGAGGGATTGCTGCCGGTTGTAGTTTATCGTCATACCCAACTACTTACCGTAAAATATCTGATACGAAGATTTAGATACTTTACTTTTGTTTTCATTCATGCCTGACTACGGTATCTCCTTTACCCTAGACATGCCTCCAACGTACCCGAGACATGCCTCCAAAGTACCCTAGACATGCCTCCAACGTACCCGAGACATGCCCCCAAAGTACCCTAAACATGCCTCCAACGTACCCTAGACATGCCTCCTGCGTACCCTAAACATGCCTCCAAAGTACCCTAGACATGCGTCCTGCGTACCCTAAACATGCCTCCGACGTACCCTAGGCATGCCTCCTGCGTACCCTAGACATGCCTCCAACGTACCCTTGACATGCCTCCAACGTACCCTAGACATGCCTCCAAAGTACCCGAGACATGCCTCCAACGTACCCTAGACATGCCTCCAACGTACCCTAGACATGCCTCCAACGTACCCTAAGTTACTACCCTTTTGTCGCTAACTTCACCGAAAATGCACCAATTTTAACCCCTCCAGAAAACATTTATCGGTGTATAGTGCAACCGGCTACAGAAAATGTCTGATTTTTAACTTCATCCAAAAAATTACCAGTCTATAGTTCGCCCCACGTATTTTTTTGCGTAAAAAATAGTGATATTAAAAATTCGTACTATTTTAGGGCATATACAACAAATAAAACTGAAGAATTAATCTGCATAACTGTTCAGATATCAACAATAAATAGGTGGTAATAACAACAAAGATGGGGATAATAGTCCGAATCTAAATAATGACAACTCCTCATCTCAAAAATTCAGACAGAAGGTGATCAAGTGATAATGATCGCAAAGACGGGGATAATAGTCCGAATGTAAATAATATCTCCTCATTCCAGAAATTCAGACAGAAATATGGACATATTGATACTTCTCCAATCAATTAAGATCAGAGGATATGATAGACATGCCTGTATTATTATTAGTTTAAATAATTTCCAATTGACTTGCCTAGATTTTTATAATCATATTTTTTGTATATTTTTGCCGTTCCCAATTAAACAACAGACAGCTATTAACAACAAAATGTTATTATTAATAATAATAATATAATTATTTTATTGAATGTTTTCTATTACTGTTTATTTATAATTTTAAAAATTTAGTCAGGTTTTATTATATTGTAAGAAATTTTGAGTAGTTCTCTTTCTCTCTCTCTCTCTCTCTCTCTCTATATATATATATATATATATATATATATATATATATATATATATATATATATATATATATATATATAAATTTAAATTATGTATATTTAGGCAGCAATTTTTTATTTTCATTTTTCATCACCATATTCATACATGTTTAAATCCAATCTAAGCTTTCGGCTTACATATGGCATTATCAAAGATGACAATTACATTTCAATATATCAAACAATACACGGACGAAACAATAATGATAATCTGTTTTTGTTGCAGGAAAATTTTCAAAATCGCGTCGCAGTTCGTGACGTCGCACATGGCCACGCGAGAGTGAAAACGAGAAGTATTAAGTATGGGAATACGTTGGCATAACCCAATGGCTTCAGTTATCAATTATAGACATTTCGTAGTTTATTTTGTTCAGGTTAGGTTTCAACTGTTTTATGTATATAGCTTCAATAATTTTGAGTTTTTGTTTATTGTTTTCATGTTTAAGTATAGTTGTGTTTTCAACAAGGTGATTTCCTTTCGTCTTTCAATGATAATGTTACTAAGTTTATCGGACAAGATGAAAGGAACTCATTTAAAATAAATAGACACAACTTCTCTATATTATTTAATGACACATGCCTCAATATATATATATATATATATATATATATATGCATAATTTTTTGAACGGATTAAACGAATTTGATCGACGGTCGGTATAATCATTTGAGGACTGTATTCTTTTCAAATACGAAACGTTATTTGTCCATCGAAATCAAGATGTGAATATTATTTCTGATAACAAGTAAATCCGTCTCTTTTCTTAATATATTAGGACGACAAAAAAATCTTCAGCTAACGTATATTTTAAGAAGTAGCGTAGGAGATATACAGATAGATAGATATAGATTTGTACTAAGATAGATAAATACATATGAACTGACGGTCATTTGTACTGATATAGATAGATAGATAGATAGATAGATAGATAGATAGATAGATAATGAAAAGGCTGCAGCAAATAGATAGATAGATAGATAGATAGATAGATAGATAGATAGATAGATAGATAGACAGAAGCCATATCATTAAAGAAGTCTTGAGTGATCACTAGATAAGCGGGGAAGAATATGAAACAGAATATAATTCGCTTATTAGACGGAACCCGTGGGCCAGAAGGGTAATTTCCACTCGACTGAAGAGCACCTATCAAGGGAGATAACCAAGTTAATCATTTCAGAAACTGCTTTCAGAGATAATTAGACGCCTCCTCAAACGAGAATAACTGGTCAATTCATTTACGTTACGACAACCAATAAGGATATTTTTTTTCGATAGAGAGGTCAATGGCTTGCGGCAAAATAAAAGATCAGTTTGACATTTGTCCTTCTTCATATTTTATAAAACTTACCTTTAACACGCAAACTCAGACACACATATGTATATATACATATGAGAATGTTTTCGTTTATATTCCAAACACGTTCAGCACTTTGTGGCCGTTTTCATTGTTGATATTGTTGAGCTTTAGGCTTTTTTTCGTTTTTATTATCAATGCTTTCATTATTTTTAATCGATTTTACATGTAAAAGAGGTGCTGCTCTCGATAAAATTTAATTTCGGCATTAAATGACCTCTCGAATTTATATTTTAAACAAAATATGAAGGAATAAGAAGGAACACAAAACGGCTTTATAGCAAAATAATATTTATATTTATATTATAGTATATAATGATATACAAGCATAAGGGTTACTTCCCTTTGATTGGAATTAAAGTCTTTACTAAGGAAATATTTTTTTATCTGAGTTGAATGAACTTGCTGCTCAAAATGTTCATTGTGAAAATGTGTTTGGTAAAATAGAACTTTGAATATTTACTTGAAGAAATGTAATGAATACTTTGTTTTTTACACGAAGAAAGTTTGTTTTACAAGAATAAATTTAGAGATGTGGTGCATTCACGTAAAAAGGAAGTTACAAGAAGGTAACATTTTGCAGCAATGTATGTGGACATGTGTTGAAAGGATTCTACATTGTGTAACACAGAGACATACAAACGTATAAAATATGGCAATTTTAAACAAATGTTCAAATAATTAAATATAGAGAGAGTTATCAAAAGTTACAACCCAATTATGGCGGTGAGATCAGGATAATACAAATTGAAATATTGATTAATAATTACGAGGAAACACACGTGATATATTTAACAAAACAAGATAAGGAATTAATTTATAAATTTACACATTTGAAGTTGTCAGTAGCTTGTTTCAGGAATAGGAATCAAATATTTAAAGTTCGTAGTTTCAATGAATTGTCAAGAAGAAAAAATGTTCATATTAAAAATCATTGGACACAAAGTAATATTCCAAAATATTTAAAACAAATTTAGAGTTTGTTTTTCACATAAAAGTTATACGGTTGTATTCAACATGAATGAAAAGATATATTTTCAGGTACTTAGTTTTGGAGATGAATAGAGTTCTTTGAAATTGCCCTGCTCTCATCAGAGGCTGGTAATTTATCAGCGTTTAATTTGACACCGGCGTTATTCTTTTCTTTGTTGCCATAATAAATAAAACAAGTAAGAAACAATTGAGGTTAACAAGAAAGGAGAAAGGAAACTGGTGGGTTAAGAAGTGTAGCGAATACTTTGTTTTTTTTACATGAATAAAGTTTGTTTTACAAGAATAAATTTCAATGCTGTGGTGCGCTCACAGAAAATGAAGTTAGAAGATGGTTACATTTTGCAACAATCTATGCGGACACGTTGAAAGAATTCTGTAGAGGTCGCTTGCCTCTTGAATTTATATTTAACGCAAAATACCACAAAATATGAAACAATAAGAAGGAACACAAAACGGCTTTATAACAAAACAATATTTATATTAGAGTATATAATGATATACAAGCATAGGGGTTACTTCCCTTTGACTGGAATTAAAGTCTTTACTAAGAAATATTTTTTTATCTGAGCTGAAGGAACTTGCTGCTCAAAATGTTCATTGTGAGAATGTGTTTGGTAAAATTGAATATTTACTTGAAGAAGTGTAGGGAATACTTTGTTTTTCTACATGAAGAAAGTTTGTTTTACAAGAATAAATTTAGATGTTGTGGTGCATTCACGTAAAAAGGAAGTTACAAGAAGGTAACATTTTGCAATAATTTATGTGGACACGTCTTGAAAAAATTCTGTAGAGGTCGCTTCCCTCTCGAATTTATATTTCACGCAAAATACCACAAAATATGAAGCGACAAGAAGGAACACGGTTGATATAACCATTTTATAATAAAACAATACAGTGTCACCCGGATGTAAGAGAGTTGTCGGGACCGGAGAAGAAGTCTCTTATATCCGGGTTTCTCTTATATCCGGGTTACACTGTATTTATATTTATATTATAGTATATAATGATATACAAGCATACGGGTTACTTCCCTTTGACTGGAATTAAAGTCTTTACGAAGGAAATATTTTTTTATCTGAGCTCTTAAAAAGTTGAATGAATTTGACGCTCAAATTGTTCACTATGAGAAAGTTGAAAGAATTCTGTAAAGCTGAAAATATGTTGATAAACTTTTAGCTTCAGAAGAGTTCAAGGAGTGAATGTTCCGTAATGTTTAATTAGTTTTCCCTTGCTTCTATTTGAATATTCATGTAGAGGACCGTGTGGTTTTCAGTGTTGTTAAATAAGAGACACGTGCATTTACTTCCTGCTAGAAGAAGGTCCAACTACAAGAAAATGGCGGACTCTAGTTGTGTCCAACCGATGATGAAAAGAAAACAAACAAGACCGATATATATATATATGTCAACAAATATATGTATTAAACAACACAATTTTACAATGGACATAGATAATAACATTTGTATGTGTGTGAACCTTTGTGTTTGTTCTTTGGTTAATGTTCGTACGTGCGTGTATGTGCGTATAATGTTCATGGCGTCTCCCACAAGTGGGAAACGTTGTCTTTTGCGAAAAGTCACATTGTAGAGGTGTTCGCTGAAATGAAGAAATGAAAATGAGAACGAGGCAAGAAGTCGCCCAGTATTTATAGTATCGGGAGAGTGACCCCCTAGTGAACAATTAGGGAATTAAGGAGGAGCTAACTCCGACATTCGTAATATAATGTTCGCAATGTTTTTAATTAAGTTTCCGTTGCTTGTAATGTTATGTAGGGTTCGTAATTAAGTTTCGTACGTACGTGTATGTGTGCGTGTGTGAATATGTTTTCATAGCGTCCGTCCGAACCGGGGTCGAAACGCGATTTCTTATAGAGCTACATTTTAGTAAGCGAAGAGAAATCAAAAGAGAGAGAGAGAGAGAGAGAGAGAGAGAGAGAGAGAGAGAGAACAAACTTGTGTCTGGTATTCATAATCAACGTAATCACGTGACCGGCTCCGAAAGACATAGACAGAATTTGGCGGAACGTATTTTAGTCAGGTCAAGAACTAGGTCGATGTTATTGAAACGTAGCTGAGAACATAATTTAAATATTAACTGACCAATTAGAAAGGATAAAAATATCAAGGCACTGTGGTCCACTTTTTGCACAGAACTCTGCACAAAAACTGACATTGATTAAAAAAAAAGTGGTAGCAGGATGTTAAAAATATGCCTGCATTTTCTTTTTATGTTGCGAATAAAGCTTTGTAGGTTTCCGTCTGTGTCTAAGTGGGTTCTAATTGAGCTATAGTCTGAGAGATGTAATGTGAGTCCTCTTCGTAAGTATGAAGTGGTTAGTTCTATATAATTACTAGCCGAATTACCCGCGCCTTGCTTTGTGTCACACATTTTTTGTAAGAAAATGATGATTGATTTTATATCATTGTTATAATTTGTGGAGAAAAATGATGCATTTCAATATTACTCAATGATCTTGCCGATGTGACCTCCATCTTCTGGCTTTCTCCTTCTATGTTTTGGATAGGAGTCATTCACTTGTTTAATTTAAAATTTAAACGAAAGGGGAAAAAAATTCAGTTGTGGGGCTGTGCAAAAACTGCTTGATCTGAACTCTTTTATATATATTTGATGCAATCTTTGATTGAATGAATTAATGAGCAGATTTCAAAATTGATATGACAGTTGAACTGTTGCAACAAATATGTAATGTAAGGCAGTACTCACTGATTGGTGATTTCTTGCTCAACTTGACATCCATATTGTCTCATCTTGATCTTGCTGATGTGACCTCCATCTTCTGGTTTTCTCCTTCTATATTTTGGATAGGGGTCATTCCCTTGTTCCAACTTAAATTTAATTTAACTCAAAAGGAAACACATTTTCAGAGATGGGGTGCCTCTTGGTAACCCCCTTTGATCAAAATGAAATATAATTATTCAATTACCCTTGAAGTCATTCCCTTGATACAAATTTAAATTTAATTTAAATCAAAAAGGGGAAAAAATCAATGCGAGGATTGTGCTCCTCTGTAACTAAATGTTATAGCACGTCACTCTATATGATATGTCTTGTGTAGAATTGTTGTGGTACGATCCACCTAATTTACAGTGGAGTACCGACGATATAAATATGGGTTGGTACCGGGAAGACCAGGGAGTAACAAGAGATCCAATCCAGAGACTCTGCCCGACTGCGATTAAGTCAACCCATTCTACAGGAACAGTCTTCCCAAGAATATACCAAAACTAACTGTAAATGATGTGTACCTTTTCCTTGTTTCAATACATTTTGTTTACGTACATTTTGTGTTGTATTATTATTATTCCATGCTTATCCAAGCTTCAACAAGAATACAGGTTCGATTCCTATCAGAGGATACATATTTTCTAAGAAATTTCTCGGACATTCAGAGCGGTAAATGTAATTAATAATGTTTAATTAAAAACAGAGCATTTACTTAAATAAATTTTATGTATAACAGTAACGTATAAATAGAGAATATATTAAAATAATTGTCGGACTTAGTCCATTTCATAATATATGTTACGATTTGTTTACGTTAAGAGAAGTTTCTAGCAGATATGATCGTTCGAGAAAAATCGCAGGGAATTTGTTGTTTAAAAACAATAATTTGGACTTTGCTAACCAGACGCTTCCTCTGTAACTGAATGGTATGGAA